CAAACCAGAAATCACGATTATTTGAAAGGTTTCCTTTCAGTAAAATAACAATTCACCTTTCTTTAAGCTGGTTGTTTTAGTACAGGTGTACCTGTAACAAACCAGAAATGTGAAGTGCTATGTTCCTTCACATACTGGATAGCTACTTCAATATTCACTTTTAGCTTGGTAAGCAATTATCTGCATAAGCGAATGGGGAAACACCTGAGGCAGAGGCAGGGATTAAACCAGTGCTGCATTGAGTCATAGTTCTCTGGGCTCAGTTTGGTTTTAAAGACTTTAACATGTAGTGTCCATACAGTAATTCCACTTATTAGAAATCCTAATTAAGATGCTGTGTTGTGCTGTTTGGAAAAAATTAGGAAAAACTTCTTGTTCTTCTTCAAAGCCTCGCGTTCTTCTTTAAAGTGTACTTCTGCTTTTTTAAATGCTGAAGTATATTTATATACATAGTGTAATTAATCTCTCATTTGAAGTTCTCTTGATGACTTTTCTAATCCTTTGATTTTGCATGCATCTGGGAGAAAGGTGATGTTGATTCACTTCATTCCCTTTTATGAACCAATGTATTTAGCAGATAAATCTGTTGAAGTGAAACGCTGCCCAGTTGAAGATCATAGTAAAACTTCAGTTTCTGTAGTCTTTCCTTCAAAAAACAACTTCCCGAGAAACAAGAGATGCAGCTGATGACTAAGACATTTACATGCTCAGGTTCTATTTTTTGTAAAGATGATAGCATACGTACAATACGAAATATCCTTTACTTGACAGATCTGGTTTAGTTTCTTAGTATGACCTCACACTCTAGACTATTACTGAGAAGTTTCTTTCCAAGATTGCTGGTGGAAACATCAATTGTTTTGATTCTTCAAAATCATTAATACTTGTACCAAGTAGCTGGGTGCATATAGTTGCAGACAAACTTCTAGATGTTAAATGTGGGCATTTTCACTCTTTTTTTTTTTTTAACTGCTCCCTAACTTTTGTACGTTTGAAATAATAAAAATTTGATGTTGGTTTTGTTAGAGTTGTTTATACTTTGTTAATACTTTGCTTTATACAGGACAAATATTTTGTACAGTACAAAAATAATTTGAATAGTTGACAGGATATCTTCAGGTGAAAATACATCTTCAACTGTGTATGTGCTCTGGGTCTGCCAAAAGATAAAAAAAGGGTAAAATATGATCTTATTACAGTAGTGACTTCAGAATAACATATCCTTAAAGAGAAAAGTTTTTTTTTCTATGTTTAGTATCTATATGTACAAAAGTCTTAATATTTAGCTTATCTATTTTGTCACACTAAATTATGCTTATCCAGGAAACGAGCTGCGTGCTATTAAGTGGTTAATAAATAAAGTAGAGGTATTGCCATCCGTTCACAAAGTTGCATGAGAAACAGGCACAAGAACATTCCCATATTTCCTTATCTACTTCTAAACCACACCCTTTCTTCTTGCATGGTAAAAATTGGACTGAGCATAGAACTACAGATTAAATGATGTTTTGATCTGGTAGTCTCAAACAAAATGGAGACGTGATTATCTAAACCACTCTTGCATTCTCATGAATATATATCTCTTTCTCAAAGGAATATCTTGTATAAAAATAATCCCTTTTTCTGTTTGCTGCCTTTAAAACAGCTGTCTAATGCAGAAACAGTCATTGACACTGCTGGAAAACAGGTTGAGTACTGTCTTGGTTCCTTCAAAAAAAACCAACCCGACCCCAAAACCAAAAAGGAAGTTGTTTTATGCCAGATAAGTAGGATCAGAGCCCGACTACTCTGACTGTTCAGTGTTTAGATGTACAGGTTCCTTTTTTTCTTCTCTCACCGTGGGCTGTGTCCTATCCCTGTGCTGACCCTGTCCTTCGCTGCTCCTTCCTTGCAGGCCGAGGCGATGATATGCTTTTTCTCCACGCAGTTTTGTGTGTAGTCTCTGAAATTGGGCAAGGTGAAGCTCACATTTTTTGTTCTGCAGCTTGCTGGCTAGCCTTTCTTAAGAAGGGGGGAGGCAGAGGATGATTTAGAAGAATTACCAAAGCAAGTGTTAGCGCTGAGGGTGCAAGCAAGTGTAAACTGAGATCCCATCTCTGTGTGACAAAAATGCCACCTCAGACTTTCTGGGGCTACAGTGGGTTTTGGTTTTCTGGTGAGATACAAATTTAACTTTTTTTTTTAAATTCCTTAAAACTCAAAAGCATACTTGAGGCATTTGTGTTCTTTGAAAATACCAGCTTTTATTCCTAGCCCACTACTTTTTTTTTTTGAGGTACTGCCTTAAGGGCTTTTTCTAGGTGCTTGAATTTAAGACCACCGGTGTTTGTTCTGACACACATTACCCAGTTTGAGAGAATTATGGCTTGGAAAGTCAAAGGTTGAAGCTTCTACTCCTGGGAGTATGCTGCTTCATGCTTCCTGCCTCCTTAGAGGCGGACTTACACCTGCCCTGACGCTCGGGGCCACCTCCCTTGGCCACGCAGCTGCCAT